AAGCAACTAAAAATTTCACTAATACAGTAAAATTTGTAGTTGTTGCAGGCAAAAAATTTTTTCCATGTATACATTTACTTTGAGTTGAAAATTAAATTTAACACTTAGAGTTCGAAATGGTATTAAACATTTTCCTAGAGTTAGAAATTGCTTTTTTCACAAAACGATGTTTTTTTAATGAAATTCAAATTTAAAGAAGTAACAAAAATACTTTTATTTGAAAGTTCAGAATTTGTGGATCATCTATAAATTTCAGGAACATTGTGGACTTTAGTCTCATTAAAATTGACACTAATCGACTCAGCCCAGTAGATTATTATTATTATTATTATTATTATTATTATTATTATTATTATTATTATTATTCTTACTATTATTCCTTATGAAAAATGAGTTATCAAGTAAAAAAAATTGTCGCTAATAATCATCTAAACCTACAATTAAAAAAAAAAAAAAATACAAAACTACTTTTGCCTAATGGAGAATTTTTTCCATTCATTGAGTCCAATATTCCACGCGCGTCTGTTTATACAATTTATCGCCAATTTCAGATAATAGTGTTCAGTATCAAAGATACAAAAGTCCATCGCCAAAGTGAAATTAACCGAAAAAAAAATTGCGTATACAAGGAAATAATAAATCAATTATACAAATAGATCAATTCCTCTCTCCTCACTCACAACAATAATCATCATCATCATCATTTTAGAGCTCATTAAAAAAAAGAAGCGATTTTATACACGATCCTTTTTAGTAACAAAGTAGATCCATTATATAGAATTTTACTGCGTTCTTTTATTGTGACTTTGATCGATGGGGCCCATCAGGTAAGTTGACGTGTGCTGAATGCGTAAAACTTTCCACACTCTCTTTTTTTTTCATGAAAAACTTTAAAACCTTTCACGAAGATTATTATTGTCCGAGGCAAAACTATATAACAGTAGTCTATACATTAGGGCTATATATACATATAGGGGCGGCGGAAACTACAATCTTTATATAGATATATATACACACATATATATATATACATTTCAGGTAAAGCAACAGCAATATATGCGCGCTTAGGGTGCAAAATTCGTGGTTAGGGTTGAAATCTTGCGGCGGTGCGTGAAAAAGAAAAAAGGGAGAGTGAGTGAGAGAAAAATTATAACAGGTACCAGTTAGAGAAAGAGAAATTTTTTTTTTGTCGAATAAAGAAAGTTGAATTACGAGGTCATGAGATATACCATAAAATCACGCTTCTAGCCCCTTCTAATCTTCCCCTTAAAAACATGACCGTTGCTTTTTAAGACGGGGTGAAAACTTTTTTCTAAAGTCGTTACGAAATTGAAAGTGCAGCTTGTTCTTTTCATCGAGAAGATATATTATATTATATATACGACGCATTTTCTTAAATATATATTTATTGAGGGATAATATATTCTCTCAATAAAATATATATTTAAGAAAATATGCGAGAAAAATATTTTTTATGACGTCTTAGTTTCAAATGCGAAAAAGGTATTTCACTCGATTCTACGATATGGACTAAGGGTCACAGAATGCCAAGTAAGAAAATCAATAAACCTCTCTAGTAGTAGTGTACTGAACTCTAATAAATTAAATCCCATTCTTGACTGATAAAAGCTCAAAGATGTTTCTCTTAGGAAAGTCATTCTCTAGAAGATTCTAAAAGACTCTAAAAAAACTCTAAAAGACTCTAAAAGACTCTCTAAAAGTCTCTCTAAAAATCTCTTTAAAATTTTCTCTAAAAACTCATTTAATTCAATTTCACTCATTTTTATCTAATTTTCTCTCCTTTTTAGAAGACCTTTCATTTTTCTTTCGTGATTTTTCGAAATTGCGGTCAAAAGAAATTTTGCTCAAAAGAAACGAAAAAGTTCCTCACGTTCTCCTTGCAGTATGAAAAAAAAAAATTATATTTGATACTTATTTTGAAATAAAAATATTTTGTGGTATAAAGATTATTTTCAGGTTATTCGAAATAATTTTTACCTAACTAAATATTTATTTGACAAACATTTGGTTCAGTTTGATCTAACATTTTGAACGTTCGAATAAACGACAATATTTTCAATTAATTTTCATTTTTTTTTTCATTTTCACTACTCTCACATTACTTTATAGAATTCTGAGCTGAAATTTCTGTTCCTAAAATTTTGAACAGACCATATTTTTTTCTTACTTTTCTTAATTCGAATTTTATCAAAAAATATTACAAAAAAAACTAATTTTGAACTAAATAAATGCTGAATTTACATTAATTTAGAATCTAATATAGTAATTTTCAAAGAATTAAAAATTTTAAGAAAAGAAAATATTAAGAAAATATTAAAAGATAAGAAAAGATTCGTTCAGTTGAACGTTCAAAATTTTAGTGAAATCTGAGCATTCAAATGAAGGAAATTTATGAAAGAAGTGAAATTAGTGACATTTTCATCACTAAAAAAAAAGAACAAAAAAAATATCTTTTTCCTTCAATCGTTAATCATGAACGTTATGAACTTCACCGACGACGTAGACTTCTTTTTTAATTTGATTTCTATTTACAAAACATTCTATTATAATTAAAAAATTAATTTTCAACGATTAAATAAATGTTAGGATAATTTTCTTGAAGTCTTGGGACGTTCAAATGAAGGACAAATTTTTGTTTAATTATTTTTGAAAATTACCAAAAAATAGAAAATAATGTGAAAATAACATTTAGAATAAAAATTAATTTTTTTTCAATATAAAAAACAATTTTTTAAAAAGAAGCAAAATTAAAAATAGTAATAAAAAAACAATTTTTTAAATAGAAGAAAAATTAAAAATAGTAATAAAAAAAAATTTTTTGTCGTTCATTTGAACCTTCAAAAACTTTAAGAACATTAACAAAATATTTTTCAATTTCAATCTTGAATTTTTTTTACAAATATTTGTGGATAAACAAAAAATTATGTTCCTAAATGTTTTTAAAGTTGAAATTGAACAAGAGTATTTTTATTATTTCTACTAATTTAGGAATTTCTACTATTTAGGAACCAAATAATATTTTCTATAATTAAAAACTTAATTTTCAACTAATACAATTTTATTTAAATTTAATTTAGTTTATTTAAATTTTATTTTTGTTTTTTAATTTGATTACTACTGTATTTTTCATTTCAAGCTATAGTATTTTTTTAAAATAATTGAGGACAAACAGAAAACAAAGTTAATTTAAACGTTCCTAAAATTCCGAACGCTCAAATTCAAGTCGATATTTTTTCCTTTTTCTAATTTTTATTTTTACAAAAAAAAAATAATTTTGTGTTTTAAAAAATTTATTTTTAACTAAGTGAATGTTTAATTTCAATTATTTTTCTTTTTTTGGAAAAATTCAATTGTCCACAATTCAACTGTATACAAGCAATGGTTAAAAGTAAAACTACTAAATTCAATTTAAAAGCTAAGAAATTAAAAATAACAAATTTAAAAAAATAAAATTAATTTAAACTACATAGAAGTTAATTTTTAAAAATAAAATTATTAAATTAAATTTAAAAACTATAGAAATTTAAACTGCATACCGTGGCGTGAAAAAGTATATTTTCGAGGAAACTGCACACGATTAAAAATTACAAATTTTATTAAAAAAAATTAACTTAATTTAAACTTCATAAGAAAAAAAATGCATGCAATCTTATTTTTATTAAATTTATTAAAATCTTGTATTCAGTTTTCTCTTATGCAATTTAACAGTATGCAGTTTAAATTAATTTTTTTATTGAACTTTGTAATTTTTAATCGCCTGCAGTTTTCTTTTATACAGTTTAAATTTGTACAGTTTTAAAATTAAATTTAAAAATTTTATTTTTAAAATTTGCTCGTATGCAGTTATCCTGTATGCAATTGTTTTTACGCACTTTTCCTCTATACAGTTCAAATTTATTCTACTTTTTATGTGAATTTGTATAATTTTGAATCGCCTCCAATTTTTCCCTAATTACCAAATTTGACAGCAAGCAGTCAAAATTTATACAGATTTTAAAATAAATTTAATAATTTTATTTTCAAAAATTTGCATGTTTGAAGTTTTTTCAAATACAGTTGAATTATGGGCAATTGATACCATCCCTTTTTGTACAGTAATTTTTTTCTACCTCTTTTGTACAGTAATTTAGAAAAAAATATTTCCTTCATTCGAACGTTGAAAACTAGGATAATAAAAAAATTAGAGAAATTAATTTTGAAAAATTTTGCACTCAGATAAAAAATTTGATCACTGAAGCTAATGTTTACAAACATATTTGGTTAAACTGTATAGCAATGCAACTGATGCAGTTAAAAATTTTACCTGAAGCATCGAAAAGTTTCTCTATAGAGAAACTTTTCGTTGTTTCAGGTGAAATTTTTAACTGCACAAACTAAAAATTTCGTCAACCTAGTGAAATATTCTCTAAAATTCGCTAAAATTGTTCCAGACGGAATCTTTTCTGCTCATAAGGAAGACTACACAAAGTATCCAAAAAGGTACAATTTTTACCGTAAAGAAAAAAAAACTTTTCAAAATTTGTTTAAAATTGTTAACTTAATTTGTTTAACTGTTTAAAACTCATTGTGAAGACGAGTGTTCTGAAAATCTTACATTTGGTTCCGCGTTAGACGTCGTGGAGTGTTGTGTTCGTAAAGGGGGTGCGTAATCCAGTGAGGACGTCATTCCATAGTATTTCATCTATATATGCGTATGAAAATCATGTGTGAGCACCGTATACACCAGGATCATTCACCAGTATCGTCGCGTGCGCCACTACCACAAAAAAAAATTCAAAAAAAAAATCTAAGAGGAAACCAGAAAAACCGCAAGAGCGGAACACGCGCACGTCTCACACTCTCCTAATATCTCATTGCAAAATGCTTCTTTGCCCATAGGAACTCCCATGAAAATAGCAATCATTGTATTTTTTTTTATAAACAATTACAATTGTTGAATATATGATAAATAATTGTTGATGAGAAAAAAAAACACTCACGTGCTTAAAGTGAGACGCATCCAGGCGCGTTGCGTCAGCAGCGTCGACGCATTGCGTCGGGCTGGCCTTCTTTAGCTGCTTTTAAAATCCGTTCATCAACACCACCCTTTCGGTTCGTCTGACGATTTGCGCACTCGTTCACTTCACCAGCAAAAATCACTCGGTCTTTCCTTTTTTTTTGCCCGAAAAAAATCCGAAACACACTTTTCTTCACTAGTTTAACACTTTCTTTTTGATTGGAAACCAAACACAAAAATCACTATTTCCACACTGAAATTATTCCTTTTGTTTTTAAATCCACACTGAAATTAATCCCCTTTTTTTCACTGAATCTATTTCCTTCGTTTTATCACCAAACCAGTGGCAATTTTTGATTCCTTGGGGGGGAAATTATTCCGTTTAGTTTTAATTCCTTAGAATTATTACAAATTCCGTCTTGTCAAAAATCAAAAGCACTTGCCACTGTGGTGAAACAAAAAACAATTTTCACTTTGAAAACAAAAAACGGTGAGCAACGGGAATCAATAAATCCTTCCCGCCGCCTCAAATGATTCCAATCAATCGTTGCACGTGATGATTTTTCTCGTTCTCGAAAACAAATTCAAATGCGTCGGCAAAACATGACACTGTACCATAAACATCTCAGGAAAATTGATGAAAAACCTGAAACACTTCTAAAATCCAAAATTCACTTTTTGATACTCTGAAAATCTCTCGTCGGATCAAAAATCCCATTTGATTCTAATCCGCTGTTCAGACGGACTGTTGGAATGATCAAGTATCGATCACTAAAGATCAGAATCGATCGAGAAAAAAAAAATTTCCGTCAGTATAAATTTTTCCGCATTTCGATCATGTGGACGAGATGAAAGCGCGCACAAATTAGAGAGTGAGAGAGAAAGAGAGAGAAATTTTTTTCGATAAGAGTTTTCGGGAGTTGCTCACTATTGGGAGCGTTTCGAGTGACTAACTCAAATTGATTGGAGACGATGTTGATGATGATGATGATGGGATATGGCATGGGAAAAAATGCATGTCGGAGTGTCAGTACTCAGCAGCGAAGCAGTAGTAGTAGCAAAACGGCTGCCACACGACACGACACGACACGACAAGAACTCTCTTCTCACCAAGAGTAAGAGTCTCCCACTGTGTTCAGTTCTCGCTTACCTGGCCGCTGCCTAGCACCCCTCCACTCTCATGGATTGTGTATTGTACACGAGGCTGCCCCTCCACTATCTTTAAGCCCCTCTCAATTCCCCCCCTCTCCTCACTTCAATCCCCTTTTGTTGTGTCGGCCTGCCACGCACGGCACCGGCACGTCGCGTACGTCGCTTTGACGTAACACTGATTCCATTATCGTCATCATCATCATTATCATCATTTAGGGGTTGATCATCATTCTCTCGTGAGGTTGTTGAGTCTGGTTGGTTCTTTGTCTATTCTTCTTATTTTCTTTGCTATTCTGTTTACTATCTCCGTACTGTACTATTCTCACTATTTTCTTTTTTTGCTATACTCTTATCTCGTTACTATACTATTCTCACTATTCTTTTTCTTTGCTATACTCTCTCCTTACTATACTATTCTCACTATTTTCTTTCTTTACTATACTCTCTTTACTATTCTTTATATTACTAATAACTATTCTTTCCTTACACAGAAAAAATGATAATCTAATTTTAAGAAGCGCCTACTAAAATAGGAGCCAAGAATATTCCCTATTTAAATTAAGTGCCCCCACTTAAATTAAGTGGGCCACTTAATTTAAGTAGGAAATACTCATGGCCCCTATTTAAGTAGGAGCTTCTTAAAATTAGATTACCGTTTTTTCTGTGTACTACAGTATAGAAAGAATAGTAATACTGAAGAAAGAGTTCCTTTTTGTTCTCCCTTCTCACTATTCTCTTTCTTTACTATACTCTCTGTACTACTCTATAGAATTAATTTTTCTGAACAAGTTTAATGGAATTTTTTTTAATTATAATAATGGTTTGTTTTTAGTTTTTATTTAATATCATAATCTGCAGACAGCATTCAGATCGAAACTCCAAAAAGTTAGTTGTGCAATTATGCGGACAGTTTATCTCAAGATTGACAAATCGGAAACAAAAAATCCAAATTGCTTTTTAAAAAGGAAGGTGTCTTGCATAGAAATCTACCATCAATAATGAAAAATCGACTAAAATAAAAAAATAGCAGATGTTTCAATAATTTGTTTAAAAATACACTATGTTTTTCAGTATTTTTCTAGTCTGCAAAAATGTTTTTTTTAAATTTTTTGACCATTTTCTGGTAAATTGTCACACAGGACATGCTAACAAACAAAACGAGTTATCATTTATTAAAATCGGTTAAGTAGATTCAGAGATAAACTGTCCGCAATTTGAGAAAACGTTATTTTGAGAAAAACGCGTTTAAACTTATATATGTATCGTTAGAGGCCATCCATAAATTACCTAAAATTCTTTTGCAAATTGAACCCCCACCATTTTTTTATTTCAGACACTATTACATACATTAGCACCAATGTTTCTAGTGGTCGTAACAAAAAGCTGGACCCCACCATGCCCTTAAAGACTTACTCAATTTGTCAATGACTTTTTACATTAATTGAATATTTTTTGAAAAATTTACTTTTATTTTTTACAATTGGTTATAAATACTTTAGGAGGTGTTTTCTGAAGTTATAAAGAGTTAAAAAATACAATAAAAAAATAAAATTTTTTAAAATTCTAAAGTGTAGTAGTACCTGAAATGCTACGCAAACATTTCATTATTTTTATAAATAAAAATTTCACAGGAATTCAATTATTTACAAATTATTTTCATATATTATTCAATTATTTTCATGAATAATAACATTTTTTACAGGGATTCAATTATTTTTCAAAAATAATAAAACTCAATGCTGAATTTCAATTAATTTAAATAAAATTTTAATCGAATTTTTTAAAAAAAAGTTGTTATTCTTTAAAATTTTAATAAAAATTTATCAACGAAATTTAATTATTTTATTAACCTTTGTTACAATTTATTTATTAAAATTTAAGTATTATTTTCAATAAATTTTTCAGTAAATTTCTTTAAAGAATAAAATTATTTTGAAAAATTTTAATGCAATTCTTTGCGTAACAAATTCAATTTTTTTTTAAAAATAATTTTAATAAAATTCTTCGCAGAAATCAAATTGTGTTTAAAAATTTTTCAAAAATCCTCATCAAAATTTCAATTATCTTTATAAATAATAAAAATTTTCTCCCAAATTCAATTATTTTCAACAATTTTAATAAAATTCTTGGCAGAATTTTAATTAATTTTATAAATATACAATTTTCATCAAATTTCTCGAAAAATGCAATTATTCTTAAAAATTTTATTAAAATTTGTCAAGAGAATTCAATTATTTAAAAATTTTTTGATAAAATTTTTTTTTGGAAATTCAATTTTAAGAAACATTCAATTGTTTAACAAAATATTTATTGTTATAGTTAAATAAAATTTTTGGAAAGTGTACAATTATTTTTAAAAATATTATTTAAATTCAATTATTTTCAAGAGTTTTAATAGAAATTCAATTATTTTCAACAATTCAGGTAAAATTATTTTAAAAAAGAAATTATTTTAAAAATTTTTAATAAAATTCCTTCAAAAAATTCAATTATTTTCAAAAATTCATATAAATTTCTTCGAAACAATTCAATTATTTTTATAAAATGTAAAATCCTCCTCAAGAATTTAATTATTTTCATAAATAATAAAAAAGTTTTGCAAAAATTATTTTTATAAATAATAAAATTCTTCAAAGGAATTCAATTATTTTCATATATATATAGTAAAATTTTTCGATTGATTTTAATTATTTATTTATTTTTAATACAATTTTCATCAAATTTCTCAAAAAATGCAATTATTCTTAAAAATTTTATTAAAATTTGGCAAGAGAATTAAATTATTTAAAAATTTGTTGATAAAATTCTTTATGAAAATTCAATTTTAAGAAACATTCAATTATTTAATTAAATATTTATTTTTATAGTTAAATAATTAAATTCTCGTACAATTTTCTAATAAATATTGATTTAAAAATGAATTTCAAATTAAAATCTTTGAAAATTTGAACTTTTCACACTTTTAATTAAGAATTCCGTATAATTAATTTTTCTCCTTCTTTCCTTCTAAAAATAAAAATAAAAAAATAATAAATAAATAAAAATTAAAAGAGAACAGCAGGAAAGAAGGAGAATAGTAGGGAGAGAGAATACTTTTTGTTCTTCCTATACTATTCTCTTTCGCTTCCTTACTCTTTTGTTTTGTTCACCTTCTCTTGATTTTTGACGGTTAAAATATCTGTAACTTAAGAGGCGTTACTACTTTTTTATTGTTGGTCGCTACCGCAGATAATAAGTTGTGGTTAATGTCAGTCGATGACTGTTGAATACTCGAGACGGTATAGTAGCATATTTTGAATTGTTTTGATGGTTTATTTTCGCCTCTACAATTATTAGTTTCTACTGTAAAATATATTTTTGGTTGTTTTTAAAATCTCAAATATATAAATTTAACTCTACCTCTAGAAACTGTCAACTATGAAAATCCAACTGAAAAACTACAACCTTTATTGGAGTTTAACAGAAGGAACTGTCGAATAGAAATACCAAACTGGGTAAAAAATATAATTGTAAAAACTACCAACTAGAAATAATCGACAGCATGTAGAAATTCAATAGTAAAAAAAACTATCAAGAGAACAGAAAATATCAACTATAGAAATTCAACTGTGAAAAAAAATTGAAAATTATCAATTGAAGAAAGTATCAACAGCTAATTTTTGCACTCAACATCCATAGTTGTCAATCACTTATTCTTGTATTCTTACTCTATAATTCCCTAATGGAAATATTCTGATCAATCATTTTCCGCAAGATTAATCAAACAAATCATGAAAGCTGATCAGCAATTCTTTGCTAATTCAATCAATAATAATCTACAAATATGTTGATAAATCACTCATTAACCGTATATAATATTTTTCTTATCGTTCTTAATGTCCTTTTTTGCATTTTATTTTGTCAACAGCAACACTGTTTCGATCAACGTTGCATCACCACAATTTTGATACACGTTTCTTTACTGAATTTTGATATCCTTCAAAAACCGGTCATTACTTATTGTCAAGTTTTTGAATAATCTCCACGTTTGCGAATATGTTGAAAACTTTAATAGTTTACAATTCCCTCAATCAATTTCGCACCTTTGAAAAATGGATCAGTTTTACGAATTCCAATTTTTCACTTTCAACAAAAAGGGAAGTTATAAGGGAAATTATAAGGGAAGTCTTCATAAGGGAAACTCCCTTATGAAGAGTATATAAAAGCCAAGTACAATATGATTCTATTAATCCAATAAAAATGTATATTTCGTTAACAAGAAATAGAATGCATTTGTAACAATTTGAAATTTTTGGGGAATGCTCATCCGAAATAAAAGTTTATAATTCCTGTATGACGATGAGTTTGAAATGAAAATAATTGGACTATCAATCAGAATGACGTTCCTTTGACGCAACAGAGAGCAATGCTTTTGTGATTTAGATGTGCCTTTACCTCTTAATCTGGATGATTCAGTATTCAAAATGACATTAATTGATGGCACGCCACTTTATCATTTGTACACCCTCTTACCTAACTTAGAAATAGCATTCTTTAACAAATGCTCCTGTCTTCAATTTATAAGCGTATACTCTATGGCACACCTAGAGAAATGATTTATTTGAATTAAATAAAATTTATTTCAAACAAATAAAAAAGGATATTTGTCACAGAACCAACTAAACTTTTATTTAGCTCAAATAATATTTTTTATTTGAATTAATATATTTCGTTTAAATATCCATTTTTATTTAAATGAAAAAAATTTTATATTTTCTTTAAATATATTTTATATTTAGAGCAAATAAAAAACACTTTTCATTTTAATAAATCCTGTAAGCATTCTAAAATATTAAAATTCACTTATAACCTTCAAATAAATTTAACAATCACAATCACTAATGGAACTTTTAATATTCATTAAAATAAATGTTTATTTTTATAAGAATATTTGTTAAATAAAGTCAGGTTTTTTTATTGTTAGTCATTTTACTTTACTTTTTCACTTCATATGTAAAAGTCCACTGTCACATTTTTCTCACAAAATC